TCACCATCACCAGTAGGAGTCCCCTCGAAGCTGTCTAGAACGCTGAGTTCATCTGCCTCATCTTCTTGATCAAGGATCTTCCAGGATTTGAGTTGTGAAATATGCGCTGTGGTAGCATATGAGGTTTGGTCTTCAGGAGTTACCTCGGCCACTCGATACGTATCTCCTGGTAACTTTTGTATGACCTGTAATGGCTTTTCTCTGTATTTTGCTTGCAGTTTGGTAGGCTGTCCTGCGGTTGGTGCCTTCAGCATCACTACCATTTCGCCCAGGTCCAGGCTAACACCTGGAATGTGTTTGCGGTTAAATACTCGAACCATTGCTTTTTGTCCCTCCAGTATATTGTCGCTTGCTTCGCCTTGCACCTCCGTTGGTTCCCTCCAATCATTCTTGTTCTGGGATAATGAGCCTAGTATCCCTTGGTGGAAACGTGGTTGATATCCGTGTAAGGCTGCAAATGGCGTCTTCTTAGTGGTTTTATTCTCTGCTGCGTTCAGCATGCGTTCAACCTCGTTTACCTTAGCGTCCCAACGCCGTTGGTCATCTGTGGACATACTGAGCAGCGTAACTATGGTTCGGTTCGCACGTTCCACTTGCCCGTTTGCTTGTGGGTGCCTGGTGGAATTGAGTATGTGTTCTATGTTGTGTACTGCACAGAACTGCTCAAATGGTCGTGAGGTAAAACAGGACCCCCGATCTGAAATAATCCGGTCTGGTATACCTCTGGTTTCAATAAATTTGGTCATGATCCGCACTAGCGACCTAGTATCAGTGGCCTTACATGGATACAAGTGTACATACTTAGTGAGACTATCAACTATTACAAGTAGATACCGATTTTGTTGTGTAGATGTCTCAAAGGGTCCGAGATGATCCACATTGATAACCTGGAAAGGTCTCTTTCCGGGCGGAATTGGGTGTAGCATGCCCTGCTGTTTTCCGGAAGGTTTTTTATGCGTCAAACATTCCAAACACATTCTGATGTGTTGACGCACATAACGGCGCAATTGGGAGAACCAAAAGTCTTTACTGATTTTTGCCACTGTCCGATCCAGTGCAAAATGCCCTCCGTAGTCATGTGCAGCTATGACGATTCCTTTGCGCATTGGCTTTGGAATCACTAGTAGTAGTCGTCCATCATACCTGCGGTGGAGCATACCATTAATTACTTCATAATGTTTTAAGTCACCTGATACCTGTTTTGTTTTTGGTCCTATTTGCTCGAGCTGGTGTATTTGTTCTCTGGTCACCGGGTCGCCTTGCTGCATGAACCTGACTCTGTCATGAACCGACATGGCGACGAAAACACATGCACGTTGAGCGAGTTCAGCATCAACTGATTCCGTCACTGTATCGTCGTCGGCGACCGCACGACTAAGTGCATCCACGTGTGCCATTTTTGATCCTGGACGGTACTTTATATCAAAGTCATACTCTTGAAGAACTTCATACCATCGTGCTATTTGTGGTTTTGTTGACTTGTGGAGGTTCAAATATGTCAAAGCTTGGCAGTCTGTCACCACAGTAAAACGTGTACCTATCAGGTACGGGCGCAACCGACTTATCGTCCAGATGATTGCGTACAACTCTAAGCGAGACGAGTGGTACCGTGACTCAGCATCAGTTGTCTTCTTGCTGACAGCATACACCATGTGTAGATCAGCGGTCTTGGTTCCTTGTAGCAGTATTCCTGACAGTGCTTTACTGCTAGCATCCGTATGTACCTCTGTGATCGCTGCAGACGGGTCATACATACGTACTACTGGTTCTGAACTCAGTGCTTTCTTCAGGTTTTCAAAGGCAGTTACCTGACTTGGAACCCACTGGTACGGCACATCCTTACCCGTCAGTCGCGTCAATGGTTCCGCCATTGTGGCGTAGTTCACAATAAACCTTCTGAAGTAACCAGACAGACCAAGGAAGCGTCGTATTTCATGTGCATCATTGGGTACAGGGAAATTCACAATCGCTTCTACTTTACGACCAGGCTTTACCACGCCTTTTGAGATCCGGTATCCCAAGTAGTCCAACTGCTCTGCACCAAAATTACATTTAGCCGGTTTCAAGGTGAGCCGCGCCTTCACAAGTGCCTCAAGTACTTTCGGTAGGTCACGCATCATATCCTCCCAGCTAGCTGAGGGTATGATAATATCATCCAAATAGGTATTTATTACACCTGACTCCTTCAGGTCCTTGAATGCCATGTTCATTAGTTTTTGAAAGGTACCCGGTGCGCCCTTGAGCCCGAAAGGCATCCGTTCGAACCGGGCGGTGACACTTTCCGTAACAAAGACAGTCTTGTCTTTAGCTTGTTCGGTCAACGGAATTTGCAAAAAGCCATTAGACAAGTCCAGCGTTGTGAAAATAGTACCACCTGCTAGAGCTCCAAGTTGCTCGTCCACATCCGGCATCGGGTAGGGGGGTACGACAGTTTGCGAGTTGAGTCTGCGGTAATCGACACATAGTCGCTTATCACCGGAAGACTTGTTTACTAGTAGGACGGGGCTTGCATACGGCGAGTCCGAGTCACTTATAATACCGGCCTTCTTCCACTCGTCCAAGTTTGTGGAGATGGTCTGTCGATCTGAGGGTGAGGTTCGGTATGGACGAACCTTCACTGGCTCCGAACCGGTAGTAGTAACTATGTCCATCTTCAGCATGTCCGTACAGCCCAGTTCGTAAATGTTTTTTGCAAAAGCATCACGGTAACGATTTAGTAGAGCCAACAGCTCTTCTCGGTTGGAATCGGGCCACTGTGGCGCGATTTTCACATCTTCGGCCTTTATCGGTTGTCTCTGGTCCGATATTTTCTGGTCAACTGCTAACGCGACTTTTACGGGTTGTTCGCTTACTACAAAATTCGAAACTTCTTCACTGGACTCGAAGACCAGCTCTTGGCCTTTTTTGTAATAATTGACATGTGGTAGTGTTAGCCATGTTCTACCTACCAAAACATCTACGGGTATGACGTTGTCCGGCACGACAATTGCTCCGTGGTCGTATCCCGTGACACCGTCTACGGTCACGTCCAATACGGTTTCGCCGATCGCGGTGACGCCTGGTTGCGTGACGTCGCCCACGGTATATAACGCCGTCCTTTTCGGTTGTATCTCGGCATGGCAGCGTTCCGCGACGGAGTTGCGTACTAACACGTTCGAGCAGCCCGTGTCTATGAGCCCCATGACAGAGAGCTGGTTGAGCACCATCTTCCTTGCGAAAGGATTCACATATACTTGCGGACTCAAGATTTCGGCACGATACGCCTCACGATTATTGTCCGCCGTCGAGGATGCATTGGTTACTTCTTCTGGGCATTTGCCCCGAGTATGTCGTTCTGACCCACAATTTGAACACTTCATTGCTCTACGAGGTTTTGGGCAATCCCTTGCAATGTGCCCCGACATCCGGCAGTTGTAACAGGAGATTTCCGAACGATTAGTCGTAGGTCCTGACTGTGGCTTAGGTTGTTCTACAGTCGTGTTATTGATCGGCGCGACCGACGCTGGTACCGGTGTTGACTTGTTCATTCGGGGCTTGTACGACGGCGAGTCGTAAGAACTTTTGGCCGGAAAACGTTCCCGGCGAAGCATGCGCATCCTCTCCCAATCGCGGAGATCCGAAAGTAAATTACTTTCTGAGCCATGCATACTCGCCATAGCGTACGCCGCCAGCTCACGGGAACGCAAGCCCTGAATTACGTGGTCGCGAATTTCGGGGAACGGTAGTCTTAAAACGCGACACAATCTAACCTTTTCATAAAAGTAGTCTACCAGGTGTTCATCAGCTGCCTGGTTCCTCTGATTAAGTTCACTCCATCTGTCCGACAGACGAATTTCTTGTACGAAAGCTTCGCGAAATTTCGACTCAAGTCCGTACCAATTTGCAAATTCTTCAGATAAAAACCAATTTCTAGCGGCACCGGTAACGTGCGCTCTAACATAGTGTAAGCGCTGTTTGAAATTCCAGCCATTCAGATCTGCGACACCTGATACAGACGAGATCCAATCGTCTGCAACGTAATTGGTCTCACGACCATTGAACAGCGGAATATTACGATCGACGTCCGGCGGCACACGGTAGTCGGACTGTACATAGGCCGGTAACTGCTGTGTAGGTGCGTTCGATGGAGTCGTACGTATAGACTCTTCAAGCAAACGTAGTCTTTCCCGGAGTTCGTTAGTCTCACTCACCAGAGAATTATAAGTCGGCGCTTTCAAGTAGTTAGGGTCAGTTACGTCAGACTGATCGTTTGTCTCACTGTTGTTGACCATCGTAACATTCGTAACTGACGACAATATAAACAAAAACAGTAGTTCGTTATCAACAACGATGATAACCGGCGTCCGCACGCGTTATCACATTAACACGGTTTCGGTCACTAATCTAGTACCTCGGTAACGACAGTCGGAGACCGAACCAACTCACGCACGCGCACTGCGGAGCTAACAACGGTGCATTCGCGCGCACACTAGCGACTAACCTCAAACGATCGCAACTTCGCGCCAAAAGAAGGAAAACACGACACACGTTTTTCGCGTTTACTACTTACGGCCAAAAACCAAATGGTGAATTCTGACAACCCCAAAGAAAAAAAACAACTTTGACGGGCACGATTTTCCGGAGTACACCTTCGAACACGGTGGAAACAACGGAATTATCCCACTTCTGAGATGTTAGCGAATTAATATCTAGGCTATTATTCAACGATAAATATATGATGTCAGGATAAGAAAAATAAACTAATTCAACCTTATAGTTATGCACTAGGTAATCTTTAATAAAGCAACTTGAATAAATGACAAAACGTAAAGGAGAAATAACATAGGCCGCACACAGCAGACCTGAGGAATAGGCCGCAACAGGCAGACTCACTCACTAAGACAACTATGCCCTCCCTACAGTGGCATCAGGACCCAGTGTTGCCAACAGTATTAAGTACCTATTACATTTTGTTAACAATTTTTTAGTCAAGTAATTTTAATTACTTTATTTTAATTTATTTATTTTAATTCAGATATAATTTGATTAATCAAAGGACTAGGCTTATCTGACTTTAATTTTATGTTATAAAAAAAACGATGGAGAAAAAACCAAACATTTAGTGATTGTATAGGATATTCAATATTGAATACATGATACATTTTGATGCAGATATCTAATGCTTTAACTATTGAAAAAAATGTGAACTTAATTTCATCAAAATAAACTAAAATTTGACATGGGTTCACTACAGTTCCTACAATTAATAAACAAGGTTGAATTAGTTTGTTTTTGCTTTTTTTTAACTTCAACATTTCTTCAAGTTTGACAGCTGTGTTGGCTACCATAAAAAAACTATTTTGTGAATGCTTAATGGAAAATTTAACCGTACATTTTCTTCCATTTGGATCTGAGAAGGAGGTTTTAGATGTTGGTAAAAACACAGCATGAAGTAGGTATATAATCACAGAATGTTTGGAACCTAAACATAAGAAAATATATATTTAGGTAAACAGTAAAACTAAAATGACTTTTAATGTTATAGCATTAAGTATCATAATTATATTCAAAAATAAAAATAATAATAATAAAGGGTAGTTGTTAGTATTTTGGATATTGCTCATCTTAAAGTAAATTGTAAGTTTATGAGTTCATGATTTTTCTTTTTAATTTTTTACTTCATAATTAATTTTTACATTAGAAGAAACTCAAAGATGAATAACATACAAAACTAGTACATATTATTTTTGCTTAGATTTTAGTAACATATCGATGGCTTAGTGCACACTTGTTATAAGTCACAAAATTGAAATTGTGCAGGAGAGCTGTTTTATTTTAACTTTTTTGACACCCAATTAACTTAATTAATATTTAATCAATTTGTTTTTTCTAAATTGAAATTAACTTAAAAATATATGTAGTTTCTTTTTAATATATAAGTTGGATTCATATGATATTTATTTATTTATTTTAATGACATTTTTAAGAATATGGTATGGACTTACAACTATGTGACAAAATAAATTTGTATAGACATGGACTTATAATTTAAAATGGACTTATAACAATTACTTTTTGCAAACAACTTATTATATTTTCTTTTATAAACTTTATAAGAAAACGAAAGGAAACAATATCGATTGATAAAATCTCTTCAACGAATAAAAATAACATTTTTCTATACTCAAAAAGTTGAAACATAAACATTTATTTATAAAACATAATAATTATCACTTCTTATAAAATAACATCAACTAATAAAATAAAAAGTAACCCTTTACCTTGGTTAAAAACATAATAAAATTAATAATTCTCACTTTTTATAAAATAACATCAATTAATAAAATAAAATGTATCATTATAGGTAAGTATCTTTCTTTAAAACAAAATAAAATTAAAACTCTTACTTAAGGATAAAATAATATAATAAAAATTAAAATATAAGTAACTAACAAAACTAATAATAATTTATTTTCTTAATTCAAACAGAAACAATACTATAAAAACTTTACTTGTGGTATGAGATCAGTAGTTCTCATCATCAGTCTCTCCAGTTTCTTCTAAATTTAAAGGAACAATATTTTTATAAGTCTTAAGACTACGATAATAATTGCTGTAAATAGGTGGTATAACGCCATCTTTAAGTAGTTTCATCAAATCTTTTTTTTTTGCTTCACTTATTTGTAGTTGTTTTTTATACTTTGGAGTTAACTCAAGAAAATTTATGTTTTTTTTAGAGACGTCAATAGTATAAAAATCATCCTGACTTAATTTATATTTGAATTTAATTAAGTAAGGGTTTTCTTTATCAAACCTTAACCATTTTACTAAGAGCCATTTCATTTTTTGATTTGTTGTTCCATCTACAAAGCGGGTCCAACATAATTTTGAAGACAAATCTTGAAGATCATAAAATGCAGTATATTCAATTGTTTTTACATTATAGGGTCGTGGTTTCTGTCTAGCTGTTTGAAGAAGCAAAGACCATTCTTGGGTTGTATAGATTTTTTTATGCTTCTTTGCTCGTTCAATAGTAGAGTGCATCGAGTCTGCCTCTAAATAGGAGTGACCAGATTCCATAAATTTCATATCGATAGTTTGTAAGTGTTCAATATTGTTCACAGCATATAACATTGCAGCTGCTACATTTTTGTTTCGATTCTGTCCACCACAAGTATCCGAGAATGTAGATACATGTGACACACTATCAGGCAAAGAATATAAATATTGTAAAAGACAACTTCCAATTTCAGATTAACCTTTACTTCCATTGATTTCATCCCATAGATAACAGTACCCATGGGCATTAGGATTTTCAAAAATAGTAAAATTATATGCAGACAATTTTCGCATATAATAAATTTGAGAGTCTCCTGCATAAGGCAAATTCAAAATTGCCTGCAAATCAAATGTAATTGATCGAAAGTTAACTCCTTTATTTTCAATTGCTTTTTGTTTGTCTTCTGTTTTGCTATCCATGGCTTCTTTCTCTCTCTCTCTTTGTGCTGCTCCCATTCTGGTCTTAGTAAATTTTGTTGTTCTTCGCTAGCATCTTTAAATATATTGCACTTAGTGCATTGATCTTTTTTAGGCATATAAAATCCTAATTTTGGTTCATATTCATTAAATATTTTTCTGTAAATATTAATATTTACTGGTATCTCCTGATCCTCAGGTGATAACATATAATTTTCAGTCTTAATTTGTTCACAATACAGCCTATACATAGTTGAAATATTCAGATCAGATGACAAATATTGTTTAGAACTATCACGGCGGCAATAGTGAGATTCAACTCTTGGAAATAAATCAATATGATTTTTAACTTTATTCGTTTTTTCTAGTGGTAATTTATTCCATGCTACTTGACCTTTTCTTCCATCAATCCCTGTATACATTCCAAAATCATTACAATTTTTGAGAGCATTATTGACCACCGGAAAAGTTATGCTCAAAGTTGCACAAAAAAATTTTTGGCAAACACGTTTTTTTTCAGTGTTAGAATTTAATAAGAAATATTCACGAGAAACAGCTCTTTGGTTTTCTTCATTATTGTCAATTATAACATTTGAATCTGAATCATTATCTAAATTATACTCTGAATCTCCACTATTTTTTGCAATTTTATTATTTGTTCTTGGTCGACGACGTTTAACAGGAAGTTCAGAAACAAGTGAACAGATGTAATTTTTTTGACGAGTTGTATCGCCTAGGTTCCAATATTCTTAACATATTTCCAAACGTAAAAAACTATTAAACACTTCTGAACATCTGAACCGACACATTGAACAATTAATATCTTTTGGTTCTTTACGTTTAACTAATTTACCAAATCTATTAATGTATGATTTACCAGAAGCTCTTTTTTGCTTGTTTATATTTCTTGACCACAAAGAAGGACTGGATTTTTTTTTCCTTTTTTTTGAATTAGGAGGTGTCTCTATTATTTCTTCAACTTCAGTGTAAGAGCAAGAACTGGAATTTGCATAGTCAGCACAAAGAATATTCAATGCATTTACTTCAATGTTTTTTGGTTCTTTATCTTCTAAATTACAAACTACTAATTTTGATGAACTGTCCACATTTAGAATTTCACCGGTAGCTATAACTTGGTAATCTATTTTTGAACTCAATAATTCATCTTTTCAAATTACTGGAATTGGTACTTCAAAATGATTATCATCTGCAACACATACCATAATGATAATAATATTATATTAAATTAATATAAAAAAATAATATAACTATTTCTTAAGTATTAATGACACAGATATATTATTATGCATCAACAATAATTCAACTTTGTTGGAAATTAATGATTTATAAAAAATAAAAAATGTTAAATTAGTAAAAATTCCATTAACTAGATTTATTATCTACTAGATTATTCTCTTATTATGTTTATCACAATTTTCACACTCATAATATTAATATTATCATCAAATAGTTGTATAAATTAAGATAGATTTAATCAAAACAATTCATTAATAGCTTATAATTGTTATTCAGTAGATATTAGCAACACAAATCAATATAATAAATTAATAATAAACCTAATGAGAAAAAATGTTAGGTATAGGTATTGCAAACCGTGTGAATATAATTAGAATAAAAAAGACTTGAAATTTTTATTTAAAGTTATTATGGGATAATAATGAATAATTAGGAAGGTATAATTTCATATTTAAATCTATAGTTATTTACCTAATTATCCACATAATACTTACCAGGAATAATAATGTTATTATCAACTTGGAACTCATACGGTTCAATACCGTTTATCCATTCATCAATAGTGTTGTAATAATGTGAATTGCCATCATTCATAGAATCTAAACACAGTTTTAAATTGTATTACAATTAACAGTATAATAATCTAGAAGACATTCATTTTATTTTTCTACAACAAATATTATTTGGTACAACTAGTAAGCACCTCACCTGTAGTTAAAGAAGTAATATTGTCTAAACATTTTAATTCATTATCAATTATTGCTGTATCAGGTAATAACTGCTTTTCGACTACATATTGTTGTCCTACAGCTTCATCACCAAATAAGCATACTATAATGTAAAATAATAATCATAATATTAACAATAAGGCCAAGCTTGGTAAGGTAAAGTTTATTATATTCTTAATTGCGTACCTGGTCTTAAACTTTGTTTCACATTCTTTGTATCAATTAATCCATCTGTTCTAAGTTAAAATGTTATAGATTATAGTAGAAATTAGGAACTTAGTACCTATATCTAGTATTATTTTAGATAGGTATTAACAGGGTTTGGAACATTAATGTAATAATATAAATTATAAATGTATTTCCATGGACCATGAAATATTATATTGAACAAACTGAATTTTTTCGTATTATAATAATATTATAATTTAATATAATTTAATCCTTAAAAATAATCGAATTTATTTAAATATTCCAAACCCTGGGTAATAAAAATGACTCACTTGAATTCTTGACCATAGCCAACATTTTATTTGCTCTTAGTTTGTTCATTATAATATTAAATAATCTTGAACATTTGAAATATTGAAATAGTGTATTAATTGTTTTAATTAAAATGAAAAACACCTAGTTACTTAGTTAATACTAAATTGATATATTATTTATATTTTGTATACAATATTAGTTATTACCCACACGTCCCACACGCCACATGTACCTAATGTAGTAATGTCTTATCATAAAACCATATTATTAACAATAATATTATTATTCATTTTAAATCATAATAACTCCAAGGAACTTAATTTAATGGTATGAACCTATGAACTAGGTCAATGAAATAGACAATCAAAACTCAGCTGATAAGTTTGATAACATTTCTTAATATTATGTTATAATTATTATTATTTATGAAATTATATTAATAATAATAATATGATACAATTATAGGCATTAAGTACCATTATTTCGTACTCCAAATCGGGTTATTTTTCTTTAAATAAACAAGAAATGACATTTATAGACCGTTAAGATAAGAAAATAGTTGGAAATATGAAAAAAACCCATGGTCTGTGTTGTAATTTAGGTATCCATAAATACACTAGTGACAAACACGGTGAGTACCTATTCTGGTACTCAAAGCGTTTAAGAACAGCTCTATTAAAGTACTGTGGCAGTCAACTTGTTAAAAACAAAATAATGTCACTGAAAGTGTTTGTAAAAACGCAAATTATTATAACTCCACTTCTTTAAAGTTGATGTTTATGCTCAAATATAATAAGTCCTACTTCTGAAATATTTCTACTGCACTGATATAATAAGTCCGGACTTATAACATGTGGGCAGTTAATAAATTGAAGAATAAAAACCAAATGTATGTTAAGTCCGGACATATGATAAGTGTGCAATAAAATTACTGTACAAGTTAAAAAATTAAGGACTTATCACTAAAAGTTTAGGACTTAATACATTAGGGCAAAAATAAACACGGCTAACTGCCATTTATGATAAGTGAAAATAGTAAATATCACGTGAAATAATGGTTATAGAGTACAAAGACCTTGTATAAAAAATAAAGGGAATTTAATTTTCTATCAATTGGTATCAAAAAATGAATTTTGAAAAAAATGGACTTATAACAAGTGTGCACTAAGCCATCGATATAATACTTCAGGTTATGTAAATAGGTACTTTTTATTTTTTTAAACATAGATTATCATGAGTATTTATCTTATTTATCATAAGGAAAAAAATGTTTCCATTAATACTTACATTCTGAAGCATTAATATTTTCTTTTAAGTCTTGGAGTATTTTTTTACTATTAACATCTTTTACTCGATCATTCAATATTTTCAACAGTTTAGTAAATTATGTATCAAATATATGCTTGACATACTTGTTACATTTTTTAATCTATATCCAGTAGTTTTTTTCCAAATATTTTCAATTTCCGGCCAGACAACTCTTCATGCTTCAAGTTACTTTAAAAGCATATCTATATCATTTTCAGTGCCCATAAATAATAATTTAAACTATTAGTTTATGCTAGGACACAAAATATCCTATAGATAATATAAAATAGATTTACTTATTTCACAGTCTAATTCCATAGATATTCTAGTTTCCTGTTCAACACATTTTATTTTATTTTGGTTGTTGAGGCACAAGTCCATGATCTTTTAAATTTCTTATTTTGTTAAAGTATTTAGAATACAACTTTCCTTTTGGACATTTAGCCCCTGCATCTCTCAGAAAATACACTTCCTTCAAACAAATAAATGTGCTCAGTTCAGCAATATTTTTAGTAAAATTATAGAAGTAATAATACATTAATGTGTAGTTTACATTTATCTCTGAAGTAAATGTTTCAACTATAACAGTAGCTATATTATTGGCTAAAGTAACTGTCATAGGTATAGTTTTATGAACTAGAGTGGCTATTATTAAATCCACTAATAAATTTCGACAAGATTCACTCAAATAATTAACGATCATTGCACCCCTCTGGAAAATATTAAGGACAAGGAACACCGACATGCAGAAGAAGTTTGGAGGCATTTTGATTGTAAGACTCTAGGCGAGTATAGTGATTGTTCGTCACAAGATGCCGGGTTTTTCACGCTATCGTCGTTGCGACACACACCGCGAGACCGTTCCGTCATCTCCGGAGAGGAAACCGCTATCGGCGTGTCGCCGTTGCTCGCAAACACCGTTCTTGCCATTTTTGCACACGCCGCTCTTGTTCGGTCGGATCCACTAGTGTTTTGTTTCATGCCACGATCCCGAACCAAAGTCATCCGCGTTCATGGCTTTGCACCAACTACCCGATCTCCGTTTGTAAGTCGCCGCTTAATGTTCATCAACCGTTTACGGCACTTTCACAGTTAACGCACGCTGGCGTCGTTATCGTTTGTTTGTATAGTCGTCGTCAATAACGCCATCTTGGCTTCCGTGTCGTGCCCCTCGCTGCACACACAAAACCGTGTTACGTTTGTAGCCATCCGTGCCAAAACCACGGTTAAACAGTCCGATGATCGTCCGCCCGTAGTGTGCGCAGTGTTCTCATGCTTCGCCGTATTTCGGCTGTTTATTCGCTCTGATTGTTGTTGTGGGCAGGGGCGTAGCGAAGCCATATTTTTAGGGGGGGAACTACGTCCATTTGGCCGACTGACTATTAAAAAAAAAAAAGTTCATACATGTATAATATATGTTTTATTTTTTATTTTTACAATATTGTCAATGTTCTTACTTTAATATTAAAAGTTAAAACTGTTAAAACTTATAATTAAGTACTATAATACAATTGAGTTTTGGAGGATGAACTTACAACAATTAATAAAGCAATTGATATTAAAAGTTATTAAATACAAATTCTTCTTTTTTTTAAAATTGACCATTGTTTAGCAATAAGATCTAACTTAATATCGTCTACTATGTCCTTTTCCGAGGAAAGTAACAGTAAATCGCTTAAACGGGAGTCACTCTGGGTTGTTCTTAAGTAATTCTTTATCAATTTCAACTTGCTAAACGAACGCTCATTTCCAGCAACAGTTACTGGAGCTGTACACAGTAAACGACACATTCTATTGGCTATAGGAAGCATTTTGTTTGTTTGTTCCGAAACAGCAGCTACATCCGAAACAGTTTCCACTTCTTTGCATTGGTCATAAAGTACCTCTAACTCAACCTGTAGATGTAACGGGTCTACAATAAATTGTTTAGGTAAAAATGACATTGCATCTTGAATTCCAGTTTCACTTAAGTTATTCCTTGATACAGGGGGATTGAACATATTATATAATGGTTTAATTGTACCAATGCAACTTTCTAAATTATTTTTCATCAGTGACGTGAGCTCGTCCAACACAGATTTATATTTTTTCCTATAAAATGTTTTAAATGATATATTTGCCGCATTATCTCTATTATTATCAAGGCGCTTAGGTACAAGTCGGCGTCTATGCCGAACTAAAAACTCTTTTTCAGCATCCACATCAAAAGACTTCAAAAACGCAATTGAACTATTTATAAGATTATCCATACCATCTATGTCAGAATTAATAATGTTCAACGATTCTAGAGTACTTGACATAAATATGATTGCATCAGCGATGTTAAGTTCAGTTGATTCGAGACACTCAGTTAATAACTTCATCTTATACATAACATTTTTCATAAATAGAATACTTACAACAAAGTCTACAGAAATTAATCGTTTTGATAAAGAATATGCTGCATTTCTGGTGGATTTATCAAATTTGTCCTTGGTATTTGTTATCTCATCTAAAACTTCGATAATTACATTAAATGATGACCAAACAGACTTAATTGCTTCAGCACGAGCTGTCCATCTTGTCTTCGACAAATTTCGTAGTTTCAATGCAATTTCAATATCAGCTAGTTTGTTCAATAATGGTGAATATCGTTTTGTACTCGAAGAAAAAAAACATAGAGTTCTTGCATTACTGAAAACATATCGGATATAATAATACTAGCTTCACATCCATGTTCAATGAATGTGTTTATTCTATGAGCCTGACATGGAATGTAAGGTATTTTTCTACCTAATATTTCAGTTAATTTTTGCTGTGCGCCATTAAATACTCCAGACATACTGCTGGCAAAATCATACGACTGAAAAACAAGATTATCAGGATCCAACTCATTCTTTTGCAAAGTGTCTAATATATCATTTGCCATTCCTACGCCAGTCTTATTTAAGGATTCACGGACTTCTATTAATCTTTCTTCTGCTGTACCTTCATTATTGACGAACCTTACAACTACTGATAGCCTATCTGTATGTGACAAATCAGGTGTTGTATCGGCCATTACAGAAAACTGACCGGATTCCTTAACTTTAGCTCTAATAATTTTATTGACTGATGACCCAAGGATAGTTATGAACTCGTTTTGAGATTGGGGACTCAAATACGTAGAATGGTATGGTCGATAACAAGAATCATCCAGCCATTTTTTTAACAATGGACAGTGCCTAGAAAGTAAATACGTAATTTGTCTAAAGTTTCCATTTTCATCATCGTCTTTTCCTCTGAATGATAAACCTTGTCTAGCTAGGGTTTTGGTTAGATCCAGTAAAATACAAATTACTTCTTTGTGAAAACTTTGATTGCTCTCTTCCTGAATTTTTCGCTCACGTACTGTTTTGTCGAGCATAACATCAATGTTATTTGATTTTTTCATGTAATTGCAATAATCAGTTAATGCAGATTTGTGCGCTTCAGAAGTAAAATGTTTCTGTAATTTTCCCATTTTGTTTAAACAACTGGAGCCTTTCATTTTTTTCCACCCACTTACGCCGATTTCGTTCTAATATCCCTTACTTTTTTGACGACCAGCTACATCAGGAAATAAACTGCAAACAAAACAATAAGCTGCATCTTTTGCCGTACTATATTCCAAATGTGGGTATTCGGTATACCAAGATGGATTAAACCGATGTGCTTCTCGTTTTGGGTAAAAGTTTAATTTTGGTTGATGTGGACCTAGCATGATTAGGTATTGTCTTTGATTATCTGAAGTTATTTTAGCTCTTAGACCTGGATCATGATGTACTTTACTACTAACAGTATCCTTTTCGGTGATATTTTCTGAAACTATATCCATCTGTGTCATTAACATATTGCATTTGTCCATTATAGAAGAAGAAGTTTTAAGGATGTGTTTTATAGCATCTTTTACTTCAATTACAAATTTGTAACTATTTACAATTTCAGCTTCATGAAGTTGGTGAATTATTGGTTTACATATATCTATATAATCAATTAAATGTTTAAACTGCCCAGCACAACTAAAAACGTTTCCTGTTAAATCTGAACATTCTAAATTTGTTTCTGAACTTTGGTTAGGGAAATCACATTGATTAACTTCATTAATGTCTTTTAATTCGTTTTCTTGTTGTGTTTTATTGGTTTCCATAACTTCGATTTCAGAAAGATGTGTATTGTCACTTGGCTTGGTAGCAGATATTGGTAACTGGACATCAGAGGTTGGACTTAATTTTGAGTTAAACTAACAAAATAATTCATTGGTTAGGTATTGTACAAAATAAATTATATTTGCTTTTTAAATAGTTGAAGGACATAACAGAACAAGTTTGCTTGGATATAAAGTACCTATGCCATTATCTAAGAAATTTTCCCCAAAACGTTTTTCATTGTGTTGACTACAATAATACACCAATAAACTTGAAATAAAACAATTAAAAAATTTGTGTTGTGAATGTTGTGATGTCCTTTAATGATATTTTAGATTCAGTTGAAAATTGAATCCGACTAGTTTTTAGAAATATATTTTTGAAGGTTTTATTATTTTACTAATAAAGATTTTAATAAAACTATTAACTACATTATCAAAACTATTCAAAATTCAATTTATAACTAAATAGAAGTTTTTATTAACTAATTCTCAGTTTTACAACTAAGCTAAGATAACCAATATAACAATTTGTATTTAACCCAATATTTTTTTAAGCTTCAAGTATTAGTTTAATAATAATTATATTTTAATTGTTACTTTAAATACATACATTTTCCGACAAATTTGATGAAGCCATTTGTGCATTTTTATTAGAAGCTTTCAGCGCAGCAACAAACGGATTCTTAGGAGCCCCTGGTTCCTTAACTCTTACACGTTTTCCATTGTGACAAGCTGTCTCATGTCTGGTCTTAAAATCATTGTCAAATATACTTCCACAACTTTCACATTGCACTTTTCTTCGTTTACCCATATTTAAAAATTTGGCTTTAGACAGTCAGAATGCCTTAAAAGTTCAAAGTTATTAGTAAATAGTAAATTATGAATTGAACATTTATAGAATAGCAAAGGACTACAAAGACTACATTCATATTTTTACTAACTGCCTAGTGCCTATAATAATTAATTATTAAATCAAAAATATAAATACCTACCTAAATGTATTGATCTACTTTAAAAAAATACGTAATTTTATTTTAATTATACATACAAGAGTTATTAATACCTAAACTAAATTATTTAATTAATTACCTATAAAGAAAATAGGTAGGTATTTATTTGTTTTGTACGATTTATTATGATTTATGTCTATACACTATTCTTTTGAATCTTTTACGTAAATATTTTATACATTTTTGGTATTTTATCTACTTAATATTAAACACGAAACACATAAGTTTGATAAGTTGTATACCTACATAATATATTAATATAATTCATTAAACATTTTGCGTAAATTTAGATTAATAAAATATAATAACGCTTACCTATTCACGTCGATAGTCTATTTAGTAGGTGTTGCGAAATTTAAGCGTTGTGACTATAGTTTCAGGCGTTTCAGCGCACACGCGACTCGTACAGATGTCAGATACACAGTAGAAAGACAAATAAAATAAATGAAAAACACAATTGTCACTTTTTGTCAGTTGATAAAGAATATTTACAATAATAACAAATTCTAAAAATACTGGGATTGACCAGCGTCCAGTAGGACTACGGGTGACTATTATAATTTAGCGGCGCGCGGCGCGTATTGGTATTACATATATTATGAGTTTATGACATACGGACCATGCGGTATACAAAACAATAATAATAAAGATAACAATTCAAAATAGTCGTAATGAAATACGTCAAATACGATAATATTACATATTACTATGTTTATTTTACTTTACTTAATGCTATTTTTCGATGATTTGTATGTATTATATGTATATAATATTATGTCTATCGTCATTTTTGTCATATGGACATGTAAAACACGTACAATTTGAATTATAAAATCAACTTTTTTTGTTTAATTTCTTTACATCGATTTGGCCGACTATAATATTAAAAAAGTCCAAATGGCCGACTGTGGTAAGTTTAGGGGGGCAAGATGCCCCCCCTGCCCCCCTTTAGTTTCGCCCCTGGTTGTGGGAATCGTCGCACCCCGGTCAACCTCCACCTGGCGAACATCATCGTGCCGGGACAACGGTATCATCAACTATCAACTAGTCTCACCGTTATCAGGTCGTACACCGTTATAGAGTTATAATACTATAGAGGAGGCATTATCTACTCTTCTGTGTATCGGCTTTTGCAGCTCAGATAGACACATTGCAGTGCTGCCGTTTTCATAAAACAAAAAAATGTCCACCCAATGAATCCAGATTTAAATTACTTAATTAGAAGATTTTGGTTAGTATAAACAAGTTTTTATAAATAATTATATTATAGTTATGTTAAATAAATATGTTGACATAAATTATAAAGCAATAATGAATGTTATTAATATTTTTTAGGTTATGAATTTATTAATATTTATTTGTTTATATTTATTTCATTGCCATTACTGTTGTGTAAATTATCAATGTTATTACATTCTCAAATATTACTCTACGATTTAAAATTTCTGTTTTCATCGAAACAATTTTAAGTTTTGTTTTTGTAACTTCCTTACAAATTTATATTAATTCAACTTAAAATGCCGAGTTGTGTTGTATGTGGAAGATCGCGTAATTCCAAAAGCAAATCTAATGGCATTACATTTCACAGGTAAAATTATTACACTATTATTATTTATTTAATTATATTTTAATATACATATTTTACTATTTTATCAAGACTACCATCAGGCCCTATTCAAGCTGAATGGATTACATTTGCATTTGAATGTGGACAATGTGGTATCCATGCCAGAATGCTAAAACCACTGCATAGTCTGTTTTGTTCTGAACATTTTAATAAAAATTGTTTTGAAAAATATGTCCGTACTACATTATTGAAACCGGATTCTGTACCATCAATCATGACCTAACCTTAGAGTTCTGTAGAAATGTTTTATATCTGGAAGATTTCCATTCATGTGATCCCACAATTAAGTTTATTCGAATATTCAACGATGCATTTGACGTATTGAATTCTAGAAACCTAAATAGTAATGGTAAAAAAAAAGCTTTGTGCTCACAAAACTTGGAAGACTAACATTTTTAAAACTCATTTTTATGAGTATGTTTTAAAATTAAAATTTCCCTGTGGTACCTCGGTGTTAAGTTCGAATAGAAAAACTGGATTCTTGGGGCTTATGATTTGTTTTGAATCCTTACTTTTTTTGCACAATTAACTAATTGCCACTAGTTGTTTAAAATTCATACCGTGCTATAAAATAAGTCAGGACCATATTGAACTGTTTTTCGGAGCTATTAGATCTCATCAAGGACATAACAACAATCCAACTGCTCGTCAGTTCAAAGCTGCTTATCTTAAATTGTTGATTCATGCAGAGATAAAACAAGGAGGTGTTGGTAATTGTATACCTTTGGAGGATGTAGATATTCTAATTAGTTCTAGTGTTTGTCAAAAAGAACCTGAAGATATTATCAATGAAACAAATATAAATTATTTTTCAGACAACTCCTGAAAGTTATTTTTTAAAAGACCATGATTACATTTTTGATAACTCTCTTTCAATGTTTACTCGTGAAATTGTAATTTACTTAAGTGGTTTTGTCGTTCATAAATGAAGTAGTAAAATTAAATGTGGTGTATGTATTTCAGCTCTTCATGGTGATAAAAATAATTTTCTAAAATCTTTAATAGATTTAAAAGACAATGGTGGATTGACTTATCCTAGTGCTGATGTCATAAATATTTGTATTCAAACGGAAAAAAATATAAGATCTCATGAAATTGATAGCTTAAAAAAATTAACTAAATTATTTATCCAAAATAAAACTTTACAGTTCTTTATAAATGACACCACTATTTTTGAGACAATTAAATTTCACAATGAAAATGATCCTCTGCAAAACCATGTAATTCTGTTGATAAAATCAGTGATTTCTTCATATTACGATATTAAAATTCAACATCTTTGTAAAAAACAAAATATAAAAGATTCTTTACGAACATGGTACAATAAGTTAGTACTTTTTAAGGGACAGTAATTCTATCATTCTAAATGTTATTAGGTAGTTAATGTTATTTTTTAGCTATAAATATTGCGTGCATTAATAAAGTACTACATTTATAATATTTGTTTTTTCTTATTACAGTTTAGCCAATGATGATCCAACATTCCTCAATTTAATGTGTAAATTAGTCTAATCTAACTCGTTAGAATGAAAACTAACTATTTATTATTATTATTTTTTTTTCATTCCAAAATTCTAAAAGCTGTTCCTCAATCATGACATTATGGTTATATGCCTATATACCTATATTGATTATTAGCATTATTATTTTATACATTATTACATTTTGATATAGGTGCATGGTAATTAATTACTATT